GTTGCAAATGTAGGAAGGAACTAGTGGTACACTTCAACTCAGCACACAATAACATAAATTCACTCCGGATTCTAAAGGTAACAATTAAATTTTCTTTCTTGGACGTTTAGATAAGTGGACGTTCTGATGTGTCAGTACAGCGTAGTGTTCATAGAAAGTCTAGGTGGAATGGGCAAAATACTCATGCTACAACATTTGTTCCACTCAGACAGAAGGGAAAAAATTGTCCGTGACCTAACCAAAATGGCAATGAAGATCTTTTGCAATGACGCCCTCTCAGATGAGTTAAAATTTTTAGGAAGCCTATTCGAGGAAAACGGCTTTTCAAGGAACGTCGTTCACGGAAATATGGAGCCTCGAGAAACAAAAGCGAAGGTGGGTTCTGTAACAAAGAAACCGGTCTACAACCATTCAAAAGGGACAGGATAGCAGAATCAAAAGATAGAAAGCTTTCGGAAACCATCAGTCCAATCTAGTACGCTATAAGCTTAAGGCGAATGTTTAATTCAGTACCAATTCTGATTCAACAACTTAAGGCTGGAGTCCAAAGATCGGGTACCTCATTCTGTGTTTACCCATTCTCTTGTTCGTGTCGATCATGATAAATCGGAAGGACTACCAGGAAACTGTGTGAGAGAGAGCCTGAGAGTATCGTTCAACTTGGTTGTATAGAAAGTGACCAAAGCAGTGGCAAGCACTGCGTCGTCGCATTTGGTTAATGCGAAGCACCAGGACAAAGCGTACGAATCATTCCACACTATCTAACGCGCACCCACATGTCACTCAAGAGCGGTTAGATGTCGCCTACTGGCAATGGCCGAGGTGATCGCCATCCGCCTCCTAAGCCTGACCTATGTGCGTATAAGCACTTTGTTTAGGCAATTTATCTAACCTGCCACTGGGACGCTGACACACACACACACACACACAGACACCACCGATCATTGTGGGATTAATCACTTTGATCATTCAGACCGTATAACCTTTGAACTTGCACCCTGAGTTTTGTTTACCTTCTATCCATTTCATCCATGAATGGTGGATAAGCCTGAAGATGAACCACTGCGGACGAGTTTGTTTGCCAGCATTTTTTCTGATATGGTGCCGGATATTTTAGCCTTTCCGTGTATTTTATTTGACCCAACTTTTCTTAGGTTTCGGAGGTTTCGTTGTGCAGTAACTGTTGTTGTATTCTATGTTTGAGACCCTTTTGTTGCTTAAGCGGTGACTGATCATGAGTCTAAAATCCAAATCCTTTTGTTTTATCCAACGATATAATGGTCACGTTTTGCTGAAATATATTTTGCTAGTTTACCTCTATTTCCTTGACCGTAACAGTACTCTTTTATTACATTTTGGCGTTTTGCTTGGACAGATTTTCAGTTTTTCTTGCTACTTTCACTACACTACCCATTTATTTCTGCGGTTATCAATAATCGTAAGAGAGAAGGCCCTTTATCACCTCAAGTGTTTTCAATAGAATAAACTGACTGGGTGTGCATAGAACTTATGATGGATTGTGAGCGGATTGTGTGTAAGTATAACATTTCATTCAGAGGCAAGGGTTTAGGACTACCTAGAAGGTGCTATCGGTCAAAGTGTATTATGCCTAAATTTCAAACTGATGTCTGAAATACACCGCCGTCTGTCACTACGCTAGCCGGTAGTTGCAACAACATAGACGAGCATTGTTAGTAGCATGATTTCTCCTCTACATCACATGTAATATGCACTGTGATCCCAACAAGCAAGAAGGATTTCTTTGATCATATTCTTCAATTTCCATTTCGGTTGCTTGCATGTTTATTTGCTTTCCTTGTTTTTTTTCTTGTTTTCTTCCTTTCCCAGATTAGGAGGTTACTTCGAATTTAGTGAAGCCTTTCTACTCGTAGGAGTATTAATGTCTCGAAAGATGGCAGAATTTACTCCCAACTGTAAATTATTGGCAATGCTTCCAGGATATTGAAACAAATAAATGAAAATTTCGTTTCAATGAAAATCCAAGTTCTCCACAATTAGTCAGGAATAGCTTATTAATCTTCAATAACTGTATCAATATCCTTTGTTTGCGTATGGCTGACACATTCTGTCAACCACTGAAATTCGTGAGGCCAGCAACTGAATACTCACCAGAACTTTTGGTTTCAAAAGTGATTATAATTCTTCTTGGATTTGTGGTGAAAAACCATCGTAGGAGAATGTTTATTGTCAGTGATCAACAGATACTGCTATGTGACAGAGGTCCCGGAGGCACTCTTGTTATATTTAAGATTGCGTACCGCTAACCTTTGGGTAGGACAAATTTTGAGATGGACCATTTACTCCAAGCTTAGTGGACAACAGACGGAGTTCAAAATATTTGGCCCCGGGGCTCGCAGGGCCTTTCTTCAACAGAGACTTTCCTTAAGTTTTCACACGTACGCAACGATTTTCCCAGGATATGGCAAAGCTCTTAGTAGAAATTATAGAGTTCTTTTAAGCAGAAGTGCCAAATTTAAGGCACAAAACGTTTTTGCATGTGTGAGTGTCAGTTAGTGAAAAATAACTTGACTTTTACGTCAAGCACTTGGCTGACTTATCATCCTGCACCCGCTACTCGACTCTGAGAAATAAGTGACTGCATTTATAATTTTTGGTCCATCTAATTTATCATTTGTCGCAAACAGAATCCTAATCTTTCTGGCTGATTTGCTCAATAAATTAAGAAAATGCTTTGTGTTTAAATCTTTTGAAGAGCTTTTGGACAATCAAAGTGCAACCAACTTTAGAATGTATTGTGCGCAATAGAAAATAACAGAAAGCGTTTTATCCGGACGCAATTTAGGGCGCAATGATAGTGATCAGCTGAGATATTTGTGAAGACTTGACTTGCGATACTGCTGTGTATTTTCAGCGAGGGTGTAAAATCTACGTAACAGTTGTATTAGTGAAAAAACCATAATACAAACACCGACAGACAAGCCAAAAAGCTTCGGATTTCATGTGTATGCATAAGAAAAGAATGATTGTTTCTCCGCATTAGACACTAATTTACAACACCACTTCTTATTCACATCCAATGACCTGAGTTAGAATTCTCAATGTTTTATTTTCTGGGGATTGCACAATCTTAATTAATAGGGTTTCACACTGCGGGATGATCTGTCAGTAAATCGTGTAAGCGCTATTTCGGTGAAGTATCTGAGCTACATTCTATGATTGTAGTATTATAGTTTATCAGTTATTATGTTTCTAATATTCTGGAAAATACCCGCTTAATTGTCCGCTCACTGGTTACTAGTAGAGCGAACTGGAATTTGTGCTAACAATGTTTATTCATTAAAGTTATCAGAAGTATAGTTCTAAGCCTTGATTGTATTGGTAGACAGGAATTCCTTTTACATAAGTCCGGTATTCGTTTACGATACTGCTACCAGATCTCATCTGTCAACTGGTTATATTTTGATAACAAGTTGCTCATTTCTCTTTGTCTAGTTAATAATCATGGGACATCCTTGGGATTTACTCTAATGCAGGCTACTCAATGTAATCGTCATATCTGGTCTAGTGGTTATTTGTGAAAGTTAACTAGCAGTGTTTGCATGGACAGTGAACTAAATTTGGCGCCGTGCACAATTAATATACCCTATTGTTCAAATCTGGTGCGCAGGCCTCCCGTAACCTCGAACCTATTGATGACTGGCAATCCACGATCTCAGTCAGTAGAATGAACCAACATATGTTTATTTTTCCTGTTGACGCAGGTTCCACTCACAATGGTTGGGGAGTAGCGTCACGCGAATGCACTAGTTAGCTGGTGAGAGTGTGGACCGGTGTTACAACAACGGTGGCCACCATTCGCATGTTTTTCCGCCTTATCTCTTTGAACTGGTGTATTCACAAAATAACTAAGCACTGTCTGAATGAGATGGGAACACAAAAATGGACGCTAACTGCCATCGCCATTGTGTTAAAAAATACTTATAAAACATCTCTCTTTTATTACTTCTAAAATTATTATGAATGTATTCAAGCCGAATTCTTAGCTTGCGTATGAAGAGTAAGGAGGCTTCACATTTTACTAAAATTTGTACTCAAATTTGCTTGTGGATGTGCTAAAACTATGGTATGGCTTTTCCCTTTCTGTTCATGGGATCTCACTATTCCATCTTTAGTTATCTATTTGAGTTGTAGGTTTGCAACAGATTTCGTTGTTGTCAGCACTATGTAGGCGCTCAAGCCTCTTCTTAATAAGCAAATTTGATTACCGAAACTATGAGGTTAAATGTATGGTCACAATCTGGTAACGATAACACATTGATGCTGCTTCATACCTAAAAATGGTGGTTTAGGGATTACAAAAATTAGACATAACTGCTAACGGAATTCACCATTGCCTCTTAGGGTGATATGGGTACCTTCTCGATTGATACCATACATGTCTTTAACAGCCAATTTGTCACGGTGATACGTAAGTGTTCTTGGATGAGCAGGATTGCATGTAGTCATGGGGATACAATTGTTGTATTTGAACATATGTTGTCTGTTATGCGCAGCGATTCCTTTTCATTACATGCGTATGCTTGTGACCGAGTAAGTTTTTGCCATTCCAAAATCTGTCCAGACACTGGCTCCTGTTTGAAATTTTGCCATCCTAATTGCCTTTATCAGCCAAATTTGCAATGGGTTGGTATACAAGATATTGACACATGATAAATATATGTCTAGCTCCAGTAAATGCTGTTTGCCTGGATCGACCAGGACCCTGTTACTATTTCCCCCTTTATAATCAGCTAATGTGTGCGGACCGATGTTATCTTCTATACTGGTCACATAAAACTAAATATGTGGGGATATTTGTCAGCAAGCGGGACTCTGTATAAGTGACTGACAATGTCATGTACGGTGGAAATGCAACTGTATCAACATGAATCGTAATTTCCTGTTGGTCACATAATGCAAATAAAGTTGCAACTTTAAACTACCAGCATGCGGATCACAGAAAACAAAGCACTGCTCACCATAGTTGACGGATTCAATGCACGTAAAAAGTGAACGATGCATCGAAGAAGAATGGCACTGAAAAAGTTGATATGAATTGTGTTCCTGGAACACCGCAGGCGCCTGAAAGTATGGACAGAGAAGTACCGGGTAGTGATTAGATAAACTTTTTAGGTGGATTCATTTGCGACTATTGGCCGTGATATTCAAATTGTCTGCTGTAGCACATGTAAGGTAATATGGTCTAAATCAATTGGCTTCTGGCTATTTTAGTTTCTGCTGAGAGCGTAAGGTCTGAAGTTACAAACTCTTATTGCTAAGAAAAATAGACGGCTAAAAGTCTATTTACTGATTATATCTGAGCCGATTTTCAGAATATGTTTAAGGATATGGGCAATGATCGCTAGTTAAATCTACTAACTCATTCTATCTGTTTGTAAGTCTCAACTTTCATTCTTAGTTAAACTCGCAACTGGCATTTAGGGACGGATTTACCACTCCGCACTCTAAGCAAGTGAAGCAAAGTATTTCGTCAAGTGGCTAAACAAAAGAGGAGGTTCAGGATTAAAAATTCAAGTAAATCTTTCAGGACTGCATATGGATGGAGGATCGGTGTCACGCCATATTACAGCTTGTTAGTTTCTCACGAGTGCTACTCCAATCGGCATCCGTTTGACGAAGTGGTATGTACCATGAATTTCAAAATTAGTAGATTTGGAGCGCATTTACAGAGATATCCGAAAAAAGGGATGGAACTTTCTGTGCTTTTTTAGAGTGTGGTAACGATATGGGAACATGCGCTTTTGTGATGAACACACTCAGAAATGTCATCAAACCTCCATTTTCTCTGACTGCGTAGAGTTTGATTATAGTTTACATATAAGCTTATTTTTTTCAGCTTACTGGTTTTGCCAGGTGCATACGACATCAAGGCGCAAAAGGTCTGTGTTCGGACAGATATTGTCAAATGTTTGCTATCAAGCTGTATCCAGGTAAAGATATGCTCCCACTTGCACGGCTTATAATGCAAAATATGGAGTCAGATATGATGAGCTTCTACCTATACCATGTGGAGGAATTCATGCCGTGATGCTTGTTTATTTGCTTTAGCATCTAACATAAACTTGATATAGGTAAATTGGGTACAACTTGTGTGTTGTGAGTTGCTAGGTTTTGGACAGGTCGAATAATGGCATCCATCAAGTTGTGGGGAACCTACAGCAAAGTTGTACTTTGAACAACCATTGTGATTCTGTGCTGGTTTGGTGTCCATCAAAAGGTTAACTTTGTGAAAATGTATCATTTCTAATTGACGGTTACGGCACCCGTCAATGGCGTTAACGACGCTGGTCCCACGTGTGTCGTTCCAGTCGGTGTGGTGTAGAATACGCAAAAGAGCAGCTCGGATACAGCAAGCAAAATTTAATTAGCCAGATGGGTTAGATACCGAAACTGATATCATTTTCCCATTATTGTAGGAAACTGTAACATGCACTTGATGATGGTTTGATTTCGTTATAAAAAATGATTTCATCCGAAAACTAAAAGGTACACTTCAACGCTTCATGGAGAAAAGAATGCTATCGAAGGTTTCAGTTAAGTCTGCGGTATAAATTCTGCCTGTCCTTAAAAGCAATGTCTTATCCCACATAGTAGCTAACGAGTACCTCGGTGGATGCATCATCAGCCCGACTTAGAGACAAAATGTAAATACAATGTTTAAATTGTAACCACACACCAGCTACATTCGGTCGGAGAATGCTCAGTTAAGTGCAACAGAAAAGGTGAACTTTCCATTTCTTAGAAGTAAGCAGTTAGTTGATCCACAGTTATTCTGTGGGCTGTGCACTGGTGTATTTATAGGCAATGAGGCTTTTCACAGACTACAATACCGAAGATTATTTAACTATGCCTGGGTTTTTAGAAATAACAAATAGATAGACAAATCAACACAACGGTGTACATTGAGGCCGTGCAACAGGAAACGTAGTTATCAGAAACACTCTCATGATTCGTTCTCATACAAAATTTGGCCGCGTCCGTTGCTAGTCAGTTTGCCAAAAGAACGCAATGATTCACAGGATCAGCCTACAGAGAGTGCACTATCCACAGCCCCCCATTAAATGGTGTTGACGCTATGTCTGAAATGTGTGCGGCTGGAAAATTAAATCCTCCAATTTATGTGCACAATAAAACATTCAAAAATTGCTATGAGCAAGGTGAGTTCATCGCAAACTAATCTTAAGCAGAATTACTGCGAATAATTACCAAGTGATCGCGAACCTATTGTAGGCAAACAGAAACTAACGCACTACAAACTGTAGCCTTTGATAAGCTCCCAGATGATGCTAAAAGTACGTTGTCGGTAGAGCTCTGTGTTGAAAGCGTCCGGGCGGGTTGACGTTGTGACTGTTGCTACGACTAAAATTATTATCCTCATTTGTCCTCATTTCTTCACACCGATTGCTACCTGAAGTGGTAAAATTTGTTTGTCTATCTTTTATGTAACTTAAATTTAGCGCAATAGAAAGGAGTCCTAGAGGCTGATGATCACTGTCCCTCAACAAAGTCAGTTTAATCGATTGATAACAAAGATGCTCGATTGCAGAGCTCGAGCAAATTAACCTTCTTGGCTATAGTAGATGAATGCTTAGTCTAATTAATGACATCCGAATGAATTTGTGTTCCACATTAGGAAATTAACTGCCGGACGTCTAATGACGAATAAGTACGGTTAGCAAAAATACATACTTATTATACATACGTCCACTGTTCAAGTGTGCAGACACTGATTCCGTGCCTTTAGCTACCAAATTTGCTCATACACATGGTCCCCGAAAATGATCACACCGTTTTTCCACTCATACATAAATAACGTGCGAGGGAATCCAGTGCTCCTTGCCAAACGCATGGGTTTTTTCTTATTTTTGATATACTCTTTTAGTTTTGTCTAGACTACGTCTAACGTATACGGTAGGAACAAGCAAGATACTCAGTGCGTATCTTTATGGGTAGGCCTGTGTCTTGTGCCCCATGCTGAGGCTGATGTTGCATTCTCGATGCCCGTTCACCGCAGTTGGGCTAAACCAACTTACGCTTAAACTAGGACTTTTTAAGCTGGATAAATTCCAATCCACTTTATATGGTTTGTTCTACCTAGCTGAATAGTATTCTATTAATCGGTGACGTTTCTTACTCTAATTGTGCTTATCTTCTTTAAATTTTTGCGTTTGCAGCGTTTGTAACGTAACTCGTGGTCAGTTTTTCCTTATCTCTGATTCGTTGCTAACCAACTTACTTCATATGGTAATTTTGCGAAGAGTTAGTTAGGCCACCTTATCTGTATGCATTACTGGATTTATTTTATTTCATCTTGTCATTTCAAGTGATTGGCTGTTGCTTTATATCCCCGGTGTGGCTGCGCTTGTGGCGCAAGTTGACAAGGTGTCTACCTGTCTATTACCCACTACCTAATCCATATTGGCTCTAGGAGACAGTTGGTCGTTGCTGGAGGGGACGGAGTGCACCGTCCTTATGGCCGTGCTAGGTTCGAGGAGTGGTTCCATGCACTTAGTGTGGAGCGGACTACGGTCCAGCCACCGCCTTGTGTAATCTTGATTCCCCAAATACAGCGTGGTTGTGTTTGCCTGTGAAGGAGTGTGGGCCGGCTCCGTTGATGAAACGTGGCTCCCATCCGCATGCCTCCCGGTCTTATTGCTTCGGGTTTACACTGGATATGGGGTATGTGGTTGGAGCTGTGGGTGGTGCAGCGCAAGCCATCCATGGTCCCTCTGTAGGCGCAGGCGTCCTGTGGCTTGCCACAGTGACAGGCAAATCCGAAACAAAATGCCGCCAACCATGTAGCATGTGTTCATTCATGACGCTTCTTCACCCCTGTTGGGGTAAACCAACGTACGCTTAAACAAGGTCCTTTTAAGCGGGATAAATTTCTTTTCACTATATGTGATTTGTTCTGCCTACCTGAGTAATATTCTATTAACTGGCCATGTTGCTTACGTTAATTGCGCTTATCTTTAAATTCGTTGCGCTTGTATCAGTTTTAATCACTTCTGGACATTTTGTACTTATCGCGGATTCTTTGATAACTAACTTAATTCATATGCTAATTTATCAAGTAGTTATGTCGGTATAGCCGTATTCTTTGACAGATATATTTTATTAGATAATGTCGTTTCAAGTGATTGGCTGTTGCTTGACATCCCCGGTTTGGCTGCGCTTGATGAGCATGTTGACAAGTAGCCTACCCACTACGTGGTCCATATTGGCTCTTATGCGCTTGTTACCCAAAAACAGCGTGCTTGTTTTTGCCTGTGAAGGAGTGTGGTCCGGCGCACTTGATGAAACGTGGCTCCCATCCGCATACCTTCCGGTCTTATTGCTTCGGGTTTACACTGGATATTGGGTGTGTGGTTGGAGCTGTGGGTGGTGCAGCGCAAGCCACCCATGGTCCCTCTGTAGGCGCAGGAGTCCTGCAGCTGGCCGCAGTGACAGGCAAATCCGAAACCGGATGCAGCCTTCCCTGTCTGTCTATTCGTAGCTGCAGTGACGCAATTATCAAATATGCATGAGCGGAACCGTTCGAATGAACGTGGTTTTAACCTGGAGTTGAGAACTGTATTTGTCATGTGGTTATAAACCAGTGTTGGGCACTTATTGGGATAGCCTAATCAGAAATCACATGGATGACAATTGCACCGTTTTCTACGCAGTGCCAATATTTCACAAGTAGTGCACTTAAAAGTCGAAAACTGGTTTGCATGTAAGTTCAATTATTCGATTTGCTGGGCCACGTAGTTGCTTTTAAGCTGATAGTTGATACTTCTACCACACCCAGGACAACTTTACTTCACATTTTTACGGAAGGATGACCTCGTTAAACTAAAAAACCTTGCAATGCAAAAGAATCTGCTTGCACACAGGTAAGCGTACTCGAAACTCACTTGAATCTCGTTGAAATTACAATCGCGACTAGAAGTGACAGCGTGGAAATGGCATAACCGATATGGCCAATTTTCAGTAGCATCCAAACGTGATGCTAAACAAAAATAGGCAGTTAAAAGTAATAATAAATATGTACAAGTCCGCCGACGAAATGTATTACCTTGACAAAGCCTTTCTAAGTTGTTTTTAAGTAAGCTTGTGAAAATTCGGGAGATATGTTGGTATTCGCCAGATAATGAAGCGGATATCGCTAGTGTAGAGATGAAAGCTTAATGAGATACTTCACGGCAAATAACCAAATAGGTAGTACAGTTGTGTTAAGTGATATTTGCTTATAAGCGAGAATCATTTTAAGACAAACCAAAATGATTAACAGGTGATTAATTTATGGTAAAGCAGCAGGCCCTTAAAAGTGATATTGCTACTGCTATCATTGGTAGGAACTACAAGCGTTTAGTTATGATCCTTTCGTACAGCTGCAAGTGGACACATGGCATTATACCTGCTTAGAACAAATTATTATTCTGAACATGCATGTGGAGATATTCTCTAATTTTTGCCCTCTCTGGACTTTTTGGCCGCATGCCAGCTGAAAGTGTCTGTTTGGCACTCGGCATTTTGGAGTTCGGTCCTCTGCGGTTAAAAAGGTAGCAAACCTCGACCTACTTATAGAAAGCATAAAAACTCTGTAATTAATATGAAGATTTGTTCTTGTAGTTGTGCTTGCAAAATTGTTGAAAACTTTAAGAAATCCTTGTCTCGTACTAATATCCGCTTGGTAGAAGATGATGCGACACACATTCCGGAGGTAGTGATAGGAAGATATAACTATTAAGTGTATATATCTGTCGAATAGGAGCTTGGGATATGTTTATACAGAATAATTAATAATTTGGGCATAACGTTAGCACAGTGGCAGCTTTGATAAAAAAAGTACCGAAATAGTACTTTTCTTCAAAGGTTTTGGATTGCATATAAAATCACTACACTTGCTCAATGATGTAGGTTGCTAATCGCAATGCTACCTATGTTATTACGGCTGAAATACAAGGGTTTAATACGGAATTTTTCTGGTGTGAATCTACAGACCAAAAAGATGTTACTGCTGCAAGTGTGAATAGTTGTTATACAGCCAAACCGTTGTTTTGCCCAAATGTGATATGACCGTCAGTAAAAGTAATCAATGCTCAATTACGGCTGCGCTACACTAGAGGCATCAGTGCATGTTAGGAAAGAGAACTCTTTGTATTGGCACAGTAGCACAGAATGACTTGACGAATAAATGAAGATTAGCTGGCGTCGATCTTGACAGCAGAATTCCCCAGAAGCCCCCAAACCGTGAGCAACTACTAAAATCTCTGTAAAAAGACTATCTTTTGATTTAATCCTGCGTTATTTAAATGCGACCTTGCTATGTACTGGCACAAAACTTTTCCTTTAGTGTATCTGATCAGCATTGCTTTTGGTCTCACAGCAGATAGGTCCATGAAATGTGATTATGACAGACGAGCTCTGCTGGCAAAATTGTCCACCACAGCGTATCAAAATGAAAACAACCTCCTTACTCTCTAGTTGGTCTCAAACGCAGAGGAATTTGGACGCTTTTACTCAGAAATGCCATACCCGGATTTCTGTTAAATAATCGTCTACCTGATCGATTGATATATTCGTCGACAGAAATTCGTACTCCAGTAACCTGCTAGGATGTCTTTGACTGCACACTTTTAGCATGTTTCATAGATGCACTAACGAATTCCAGGAATCGTTTGGCGCTATGGCAACAGAACCTGAACCATGCTATACCTGCATAGTTCTCTTTGTCCATTTGAACAAACGAGTACATTCACCATTCGGCACTCATCTTCGATGAATGATAAAGCCAGCTATTTTGCTATGCATACCCCTGCCTATTATGTTAATCATCTTCCCCTTCCAAGCTAACAAGACAGCTTGGCAGGCCTAAAGTTGTCCACAAATAGGGTACTATGTTATTCCAAAGCAAGTAAATGGGATCGGGCTGTCAGCCTCGTGATTATAGTGAATGGTTCCAGATATCGTTTTCGTTGCTTGATCAGTTTGTTAAAATCACATCACATATGAGGCGAACTTCAGCCGTTTTTAGTGGACCTGTACACTGCGTTTGCGCTGAAAAATGTTGATGGAATCGGTGACAATATATGACTGACACGGGGATGGAAAATAATCGTACCAAGTCCAAAATCGAAATGGATGTACTAAACATACGGATGGAAAGTAAGCATAGTAAACGGATGACTCTATTTATGTGCACCAAGGTTATCGCAACCGATATTTATCATGTGGAAGAAGTGGTCCCAAATTGACACTGTCTCAGGTTGTTTGCCGTTTTCTCTTCACATTTTAGTCTGGTCGACACTGTACTCCTCGTTTATTCGAGTAAGTCGTGCTCGGTTTTCCAAAGCATAACAAACTGTAAGTGTTTTGTAACGGTTTGTCGCAGCCAGACTCAAGCAGGCAGACACCACTCATCCAGTAAAGACCTAGACGGTCGTTTCGTCCTATTGGGACTCTCCATTAGCGCTCACCCACCAAATTCTGCTAGTTGAGAAGTCACGACCTCATTATTAAGAGCCTGCGAGTTATGACACAGTCATGGGCGACGGCAGCAGTCCGCCATGGCTGATATTTAACTGCGATTTAGCGCGGCTCAGCTTCCACTGTCAAGCCTGTTATGAATCTTCAGATGACAGGACTGACCCCCCAGAGCAGCGGCTTCCTTACATCTTCATAGCAAGCGTGATGGTGGAGGACAAGTCCAGCTATAGTGAAGTTGAATAGCAGTCATGTCGGTCCGCTGCCTGGCTTAGTGGCACAAGTCGCTAGCTCGTAAGAGTCATGTCGTGGGTTTGAATCAGGTAAGGTTCGGCGGGTGCACGCTACTGGCGAGTCTCAAATAAAGGAATGGCGATCTAGCGCTTTCTCGGATGTGGGGTGCCTGCCTGCTTGAGCGTGGCTGCGACAATCCTCCACAAAACCAAATTAATACTCCTGCTACTTACTATTACGCTTTAAGTGATTGAACCTAGCTGTATATCTGTGGTGGCTTCTACGCGTGATACGTCTTGACGTGCTGGTAGGGATTTTATTAGCGGATTGCGTCGCGTCCAAGGCATAGCTTAAAAAATGACAGTTACCGTTTATCTTGAAACATGATTTTCATGTTACGTACCTTGGACATTTCCATTTTGTGGGAATAGTTTGACTCATTACTGGGCTAAACAGTTTCTAAACTATTTAGAAGAACTTGCTCATCCGGTTATTTGAAAATGTGCGTTGAGCTACTGTGATTTGTTTAAAACTTGTTAATTTAAAAAAATATAACGAAGCTAATTGTCAGGAAACTCTTTAGTTAAACTTTGTCACTTCAACCGTATAAGACCCTGATAATTCTCGCATGGTTCTCCCAAGATGCTGGAATGTTTACCTAAGGCAAGTCCAAAAATAGGCTTCATGAACAAATCTAGGAAGATTTTCCGCATTTTATACTAACGCTGTTGATTTCCTATGTTGTAACATTGATAAAAGCTTGAAACCAAAGCGTAAAAGGAAACAAGGATGCATGTAGGTCATTCAAGCAGACTTCACTTGTAGTACTGATAAGTTACTTGGAGTCCACAAGAAAATCGGATAACTGCGCTAAGGTAGAGGTATGATAACATGCTGGGAGCGGAAACAAAGCCCTTCATCTAGAGCGTGTAGGCAAACAGAAGAGAGATTTTGTTAAATCTGTGTGAAGGGGATGTAAAGAGTCATTCAAAACCCTTAATGAAAAGCCGTCGCATGCACCATTAGGCGTAGTAACAAAGAAAGCAATCAGGAACTCTGAACAATCCATTGTACTTGCAAATGAACTCAAAAGCAATGTAAATTATTTTGGAAGAAATACAGGAAAAAGGTTCAGTGGGCAAAATAGCTAATGCGGGTAAAATATATGAAGGCAATCATTTTCATTTAATGTTTAGTATACTGAAAATATTTTGGGTCTCGGAGCATAGAATGAGAATTTTCGCACCTTCCTGAATTTTTCAGCAACGGTTGTGGATTGAATTAAATTATGTGATAAATATGTACCGACGAACTTAACAGTGCATGAACTGGTTATATTGTGGTCGCTTATCACCATGGGGCTAGAAGTGTTTATCATAATCAAATGTTTGTCGGTGAGGCATTTGGAAGCTTTACGAATAAGGGATAGAGAAGATGACTGTTGCTGAAGATCATCTAACCCACACTGGAGAACCAGTGATTATCCAGCAGTTGGAGCAATGCTGTCTAGAACTACATTGTCGGCGTACTTACCTATAATAAAGTAGGGGATTTGAAGAATTTGATGTATAGGGAGAATGCAAGACGAGGAAGGATTTTTCCTTGTAAAACACCCTAGCCCTCAGGAAGAATGGGGAACTTCCATCGCCTAACTGAGTAAATTGTGATCTATGAGATCGATGCACATTATAGTTGCGCATCAGCTTGCACGCTGCTGGTTGAACGCCATTCCCAGACAGCTGATTAAGCAGCATTGATCTGTCTACTCTTACGAAGTCGTCGGTGTAATTTAGGAGGAGGAGGAGTCGTACAGACTTGCATTTAACATCCATTAAACATATTTTGGTGTGGACATGGTATGCTACAGCATCCAACGTGGAACCTCAGGGTCTGTACAGAAAATGAAATGCGTCCACAGCCAGAGGACTAGTCGAAATCCACCGCACAATTAGTCGCTCGGAGACTTCCGACATGACGGATGGACGGGCGATCGGACGGAATTTCATGGATCCATTTTTTGGCACATTCGTTATGCTGACAGTTCTCCAAATTTCGGGAATGACTCCATTTTGTTAGAACCTATTAAAGGCTAAATCAAAAGGTATAGTGAGGATGTCGGATCACCCTTTCAATGAAACTGATGAAAAAGCATCGGGCCAACTAATCTTACTTGAGTTAATGTTCATGAGTTCACGGCGGACTTAAACGTGCGGGAATGTAATTTTTAGGCCAGAAGGAAAGAATAAAGGCAAACAGAAGGAAGGGAAGGAAAATAATTCCTGTAGCAAA